AAAGTTGCTACCCAAGTTGATAGGGCTGTAAAAAAGGCATATGGTGTGTTGGCTTTCATTGGCAGGGGAATTCAGTTTAAGAGCCGTGAAGTTATGCTGCAGCTGTATAAAATTCTGGTTAGACCATATTTGGAATATTATGTTCAGTTCTGGTCACCTCAGTATAGGAACGATGTGGAAGCTTTAGAGAGGGTGCAGAGGAGATTTACCAGGATGCTGCCTGGACTGAAGGGCAGGTCTTATGAGGAAAGGTTGAGGGAGCTAGGGTTTTTTTCATTGGTGTAAAGAAGGATGAGAGGTGACTTGATAGAGGTGTACAAGATGATGAGAGGCATAGATAGAGTGGATAGTCAGAGCCTTTTACCAAGGGCGGAAATGACTATTACGAGGGGGCATAATTTTAAGGTGATTGGAGGAAGGTACAGGGGAGATGTCAGAGGTAGGCTCTTTACACAGAGAGTGGTGGGCGTGTGGAATGCGCTGCCGGCAGTGGTAGTGGAGTCAGATACTTTAGAGACTTTTAAGTGACTCTTGGATAGGTACATGGAGGATAGTAAAATGTAGGGTATGCGGGGTTGATTGATCTTAGTAGGATAATAGGTCGGCACAACATTGTGGGCTGAAGGGCCTGTACTGTTCTATGTTCTATATTCTATATGTTCTATGTTTTATGTTGCAGAGATAGCAAACCATGCTGAAACCATAATGTTGCAGGGACTGACTCACACTCAGGCTGGAGTATGGTCAGGCTGCATATCGTTATTCTACTCCTCTGTTTAAACCAAGCCTCCCTTACTTGCAGACACTATGTGGTTCTGATCCCTGTGGAGATTCGTACAAATACTCTTGAGAGGGTTTGTGTCCTGCTGTCACCTGGAAATGAGACCTACCCCCAGAAACTGACAATTAAGAACGAGCAGACACAAAACATACTCCTGGAGGAGGAGCTGTTGGGGAGTGCAGGACACAATTGCTTCCAGTTCACTGTAAGTTTGGGGTCACATGGTGTTTCACATATTTGATTCCCATTCCTGCTTCAGCACATCTGGGGGAGGTGGGGGGTCGATAGGAGGGAGCAATGACCAGAAACTGAACTGGATTTGTTATATAAACATAGTGGCTGCAAAAACAGGCTGGAGGCTGGGAATCCTACAGCGAATAACTTACCTCCTGACTTCCCCAAACCTTCCCACCATCTACAAGGCACAAGTCAGGAGTGCGATGGAATACTTTCCACTTGCTTGGATGTGTGCAGCTCCATCAACACTCAAGAAGCTCAACACCATCCAGGGAAAAGCAACCTGCTTGATTGACATCCCATCCAAAAGGATTTACTCACTCTGCCACTGAGTTCAGTAGCAAGAGTGTCTGCCATCTATAAGATGCACTGCAGAAATTCACTAAGCCTCCTTAGGTAACACATTCCAAACCTGCGATCAGGTCAAAGGACAAAGGGAGGAGACATATGGGAACACCACACCTACATGTTCCTCTCCAAGCCACTCAACATCCAGAGTTAGAAAATATCACTGTTTCTTCACAGTGGCTGGGTCAAAGACCTGGCATTTCCTACCTAACAGCATTTTGGGTTTACCTTCAACAGCAGTTCAAAAAGGCAGCTCACCACCACCTTCTTGAAGGCAACTAGGGATGGGCAATAAATGCTGGGCCCAGCTAGAGACAGCCATATGCCCTGAAAAAATCCAGAAGTAAATTGTAAATACATGACTTAACATTGCAGGGACTGATGATCTGTCAGATGGTAATGGAATATCGCCAAACGAGCTGTTGTTTCACGGGGCTCATCTCACTGTGAGTGAGCCCTCGATCATCAGGAGTTTTTGAAACAGTACTTCAGAGAAATCATCAATTTCCTGATCAATTCAAATAGTCAAGGAAGGATGCTGCCTGAGGAGAGTTTGGACAACAGAATGGTCTTCACACTGACACAGGACAGCAGCCTGTCACTGAGCCCGGTCTTCACACTGACACAGAACAGCAGCCTGTCACTGATCCCGGTCTTCACACTGACACAGGACAGCAGCCTGTCAATGATCCTGGTCTTCACACTGACACAGGACAGCAGCCTGTCACTGAGC